GCCCGATGCGGGACTCGATCCAGGGACTCCAGGATCATGACCTGAGCCGAAGGCAGTCGCTTAACCAACTGAGCCACCCAGGCGCCCCAAGACAAAGTACTTGTTCTTATAAAATATTTAGACAAAGGGACATAAGGTCCCCAATTTATTATCAATTAGAACAGCAAGGGAGTAGGGGAGAGAGAGGAGAACTGTAAAGCACAGGTAGAACAAAATATGAACAAATGGTAACTACGTGCAAAGGTTACAGGAGAGTTTTTATACAATTTTTTCAACTATGAGGAAGTATGAAATTATAGCAAAGTAAAACCATTTTAATGAAAGGTGATTATCTAGATGGGAGGGGAGGCAAAATAACTATATTTTAGTTCTTAATTGTGCCACCTCTCAAACCCAGAGGCTACTGAAATGATTTATCCCATTTCTCCTACTAATAAGGAAAAGACCAGGCTATCAGAGTTGTCTAATTGGTTCTATGGGTAGGTCAGGGAAAGAGAAAGGGAATTTCTCAGGACCATTAAAGAAAGGGGAAACCTCTCCAAAGACAAAAGCATGCACTCTTTCTCAAGAAGACAGATGGCATCTGATCTCTTAAATCATAGTCCAAAAGAACATTTCCTTCCTTTTCCCACTCATCTCTGTTTCCACAGTAAAGTAACTCCTAGTAGCAAAAACATTAGTTTGTTAAGTATTCACAAATTATCACAGGAACAAACAAACAAACAAATATCAGGTTCCATTGCACCTTTTCTTCTTGTATATATTGCAGCAGGCAGAGAAAACAGCATCAACTCTCTCCTCACAGATACAATTGTAGGTCTTAGAGCACTCAATAGTTGTTATTCTTGTTGGGGTTAAAAATGCACATTGTCCTCTTCCAGAAGAACTCATGAATGTATAGTTACTGTAGAATAGAAAACACACATGGTCAACTGTTTAGGGATGTCTGGGTGGCTCAGTCAGTTAAATATCTGCCTTCAGCTCAGGTCATGATCCCAGAGTCCAGGGATCGAGCCCCACATCGGGTTCCCTACTCAGTGGAGAGCCTGCTTCTATCTCTCTCTCTCTCATTCGCTCTTGCTCTATCTCATAAGTAAAATCTTAAAAAAAAATTAAAACCTTCTTGAATAAATTTATGAGCTGGCAAGAAGCAAATTCAGGCTCAGGCTGAGGTTAAGTAAAGGTGGGAACCCAGAAGGGTAAGTGAAGGACTGAAGTCATTTTTTCCCTTAATTGATACAGTAGATTAAATATGAATTCCACTCAAGTTTCCATATGGAAGAAAACCTACAAAGAATTGAGACCCTGAAGATGTATCTTCAATGTAAACTACCCTTGAAAAGTCTTCAACCTTGGACTTAAGCAGAAGAAAAAATGAATAATCCCACCTAAGAATCCAAAATTACCAATTATCCCTCATGCAATTTGTATTTGAATATTATTTGAATATCCAAATCCCCTACAGAAAAAAAAAAAAAAAAAGGAAGATAAATGAAACTAAGTAGCTTGGGAGGCATGGGCAGAAAGCATGAGATGTGCTCAATAAGTACGGATGAGGAAGTTAGTAACCTTTGAGACGTGTCAGGTATAGATACTGTAAGTACAGCATGTGCCTGCTGAACATAGGCAAGGAAGAAGGAACCAAGTAGCACTACATGTCTCACTCAAAATATACATTATGCACATAGACACTTACATCTATGAGGTCTTAAATTCACCTCCTACTGGTAACACTCTTACTGGCCCTCTGCCTCACAAACTCAAATAAAATCCATAGCTGCTCATCAGGATCACTGGAAAGCTGCAGCTGTCCCCGGGCTTACATGCTCCCACACCTCCCCACTAGAGAAAATGCATATGCTGGCCACAGAGCCCTCTGTTTGTTGGGCCCCCTTACTCAAAACTCAAGTGATATCCTAGAAACCACGCCACTATCAGGAAAGGGGGATGCAGAAGAGTCAGGCCATCTGAAGATTATGTAACCCAGGATTCAGGTAACCTTTTACCCACTTGCACCTTATCCTGAATGTGATAACTGATCCTATCCCATCCCATTGTGATAAGCTATCCCATTTCTTTCCCCTTGCATTGGGCTATTTGTTCCAAACTGACTTAATTAACTAAATACAATTTGAGCATCTTAATTTGGCCCATGAGCCCTTCTGTTCTGTGCCTCTGAAGTGTTTGCCTGGAAGTGTACTCACAGGCTATGACTGCATCAAGGTAATTTCCTGCAAGCCATCTCTTTTAAGTTTGCAGCCACCTTCATCTCAGTCCTCAAATAATTTCCACAGCAGCTCAAAAAGGAAAAAAACACTACACAGAAAATGACACCATGAACAAAAGCCAGCAGAAACTATAGAGTAGACCCACAAAACTTCAAATATTAGAATTATCAGATACCAAATATAAAATAAGTATGTTTGACATCTTTCAAGAAATAAAAGACAGCTTGAAAAAGTGAGTAACTAGCAAGATTTAAAAACTTAAGCCAGAATCCCTAGAAATAAAAGGTATAAAAGTTAAGATTTTTAAAAAATTATTGAACAGTTTAACAGAAAATTATAACTAAATGGAAACCCAAGAGTTTACAAAATACTGCACTTCAAAATAAAACGATGGGGATGTCTGGATGGCTCAGGTGGAAGAGCTTGTGAGTCTTGATCTCAAGGACAGAGTTTGAGCCCCACATTGGGTATAGTGATAAACAAAGAAACAAACAACCCCCCCCAAAAAACCATAGTGAAGGCATATGTGTATGTGTGCGTGTGTGTATACTCACTTATATTTATATTTATAAATAATATAAACTAATAATATACAGATTGTATGATGGTGTTATGTCCTGATAAACCCAAGACAAATTGAAAATACCAAAAGTCAAAAATGCATGTAATACACCCACCCTACTAGCTTATCCTAGTGTACCTTAAATATGATCAGAACACTTTTGTTAGCCTATGGTTAGGCAAAATCATCTAACACAAAGCCCATTTTATAATAACGTGTTGAGCATCTCATGTGATTTATTGAATACTACACTGAAAGTGAAAACCAGAACGGCTGTATGGGTATAGGATGGTTGTTAAGTGTACTGGGTTGTTGATCCTTGTGATCAGTCAGGAGGATCACTGGGAGCTCCAGCTGCCTCCACCCAGCATCACAACAGAAGATCACACTGCACATCACCAGCCCCGAGAAAGATCAAATTAAAAATTCAAAGTACAGTTTCTACTGAATGCATATTGCTTTCACACCATTGTAAAGTAGAAAAATTGTAAGTCAAACCATTGTTAGTCAGGGACCATCTATAAAGAAGTTTCAAATGAACTTTGGGGATCCTCCAAATACTTAACTTGTGATTGTGGGAGGGATCACTATAGCTGATTCAGGATGGTCCAATTCCTTCATATCACTTTATGATTTGCATTTGTTTTGGGTACCTCATAATGCATACTTCTGAGCATGTGTTTAGCATCAAAATTTTGTTAATAATCTGTATGACATTTCTCTTTCTTTTTAATTATACTTCCTAAAACATGTTCTTCATCATTCTACTTATTCTTACCAATGACCTCTGTGTGAAAACCACGTGAAATAAGAGAAGATTCTTTTTAGATACAGTCCTCCCAACCCCAACACCAATGTTGGAGTTTGAATGCATTCCAGAGACTTACATCCCAAAAGGTGGACCAGTGTCAATCCATTTCCATTTTTGTTCTCTATCATCATATGATAATCCAATCCAGTAGTTATTCCTATAAGTTTGGGATTGAATAAAGGCCTGTAAGGAAACAAAACATATCATGTGACTAGCCCCATCTGTTAGATTAATGAAAAGGAGGAAGGTGAAGGTCCCAGCTGTTTCTATGGACAATAAATACTCTGCTACACACCACACCATGCTTCATCTCTATTCCTGGAAAACCCTCCCTCCTCTCCATCCTCATGCTTTTATTTTCCAAAGTAAGTTTTACCTCAAAGATTATTTACTTAATGTTAAAAATTCCTGCCACTCTCATGGATTATTTAAACACGAAAAAAATTTAAATCTAAATATCTAACACTAGACTTGTTAAATAATGTATGTCACTATAAAACTACTCAAAACCATGCTCCAGAAAAATATTTAATGGTGTAGAAAGTGATCATTACTTATTATTAAATGAAAAAAGGAATCTTCACAACAAATTTATTAAAATAACAACTATATGTGCTAAGTTGTGCATCAAAACCCTCAGCCTCATAAGAGAAAGGCTTGCTGTAGTTTAGTAGTTCGAAGGGGTGAAGGGAAAATGGGCAGTATTTGGAAATATTTACTATGTCAAAAAATGTAATATAGCAAAGTGACATTTTACGTAATGTCTGATTAAATGGCTGAATGTATTTCAAAATATAGGCTTAAATTTAAGTGAATTTTACTGCAACAAACATTTTATGACTTGATATCATAAATTCTTTTATGTTGTGACTTAAAACATCTATTAGATTTGCATATAAATGTTATGTTGTTTTCCTAAGGGATAAATAGAGGTTTTAGGCTGATCTTTGAAAATACTTCTCTGTAAAAAACATTTTGTGTGTGTGGATAATTTTTACTAGTAATAAATTAAAAGATAATTTTGACATTGTTGTCACTTTATTTTCTCTTTTTACAATTCCTTTTGAAAGATATACATCATTATACAATATATTAGAATATTGATCAAGAAAATGTTACCTACAGATGCCATGAAAATCACCATGAGGCTAACCTGTAAAACTGTTATCACTTTTATATTCCTCATTATTATCTCCTTTTTGCAGGTGGAAAAACTGAGATCCAGAGGTTGAGTAATTCAACCAGGTCACACAAATAATAGGTAGCAGAAGCGGATTTGCCTGATCCCAGGCAATCTGGCTCCTGGATTCCTAATAGCACCTAGTGGATTAGGTTCCTCCAGGTTCTTAGTTGCCAGCTTGCAAGGATAAATAACCACTGCTTCCAGGCTGCAAATACAAACGGGTTAAGGGCTCCATCGAAGGAGAGGCACGCTTCTCAGTGAGCTGTTCTGCACACACCTTAGAAAAGGAAATGAATGCAAAAACCCAAACTGAATCTTCAAGGGGGTTTCCATTTTGGAAACAATAATGGTCATCATGATAAATAATATATATTGAATATTTAGAAAGTAGCAAGATCATATATGCCTATCAGTAGGCAGGGTTTTCCAGAACCCTTACCTTTCTTACCCACACAATTTTTGCTCACTCAACAGACACAATACAGAGAATAACTGAAGGTCCCTCTTTCTGGCCTCCCCCTGTCCTCAGTATCTCAACATCTCTCAATATCCTCAATATCCTCAACATCTCAATACCCTCAACATCACTCCAAGCATGAGAGACAGTTAGGAAAATAAAAGTGAATGTAACAGTCCATGATACCAGTTCATCTTCATCATTTATCTTCCAAAGAGATGAATTATAACTTTGGCAAGTCTGTTTACATCCGTTCCAGTTTTTACTTTCAGGAATAAAATAATAACACTTTATTCCATAACAGGACCAGCGGTTTTCATAGAGTTTGCCTACAACATATGAGGTGAAACATTATCTGGTATTCTGTTAAACAGAGCAATATACTTACCAGCCCTCCATAATTAAATAAAATCTTAATAGCTATCAATAATGATAATATTAGGTTCATCAAGATTCTGGAATACCAAAAGATATCTCTTATATTCATTGCAGCATTATTCACAACAACCAAGACATGGAAACAACCCAAGTATCCATCCATAGATGAATGGATAAAGAAAATGTGGTATATACATACAATAGAATACTATTCATCCTTAAAAAGAAGGAAATCCTGTCATATGTAACAGCATGGATTACATACATACATACAATTAACTTGAGGATATTAAGCTAAGTGAAATAAGACATTCACAGAAGGACAAATACTATGCGATTCCAGTTATATGAGATACAAAAAATAGTCAACTCAGAAAAACAGAAAGTGGAAGGTGGTTGCCAGTGGCTGGGGGAGGTGAAAATGAGGAGCTTTTGTTCAATGGGTATATAGCTTCAGTTATGCAAAATGAGTAAGTTCTAAAGATCTGCTGTACAATATAGTACCTATGGTTAACAATACTGAATTGTGCATTTAAAAACTTGTAAAAAGGGTAGATCTTGTGTTAAGTGTTCTTAACCGCCCCCCCAAAGAAAAAGTGACATGGGAAAGCTTTTGGAGGTAATGGATATGTCTACTACCCTAATTGTGGATGATTTTACAGATACATGCATATGTCCAAACTTGTCAAATTATATACATTAAATATGTGCATTTTTTGCATATTCGTAATACCTAAAGCTATTTTTTAAATAATAAAAGTAATTTTTTAAAAAGATTCTGGAATGCCTTCTAAATAAAAGAAACATGATTCTTTAGAATTTCTTCTTTTCCTCATATATCTTATAATGTACCAAATTTTTAAAATACTATTGATTCTTTTTTTTTATTATTTTTATTAACATATAATGTATTATTTGTTTCAGGGGAACAGGTCTGTGATTCATCAGTCCTACACAATTCACAGCGCTCACCATAGCACATATTGATTCTTTAATAGCAGAGAGGATAAATTCCTGGTACCATATCTAAATGATATTAAATATGCAAAATTGTTTTATAAATTCCAAATCCTACACAAATATTTTATCACTTATTGATTAACTAGGTTAATTCGTTCCATCCATTTGCATGACAACGGAGTTTATTGTATGGGATTTAATATCCTTATCTCTTGGATGTTTTAAAGGGTATTATCACACAGAGTTATACAAACATCAACACTTCAGCAAACTCTGCAGAAGTACTGCAGAGTCTGCAGGGAGTGTATATAGACCAAATACCTGAGGTCAAGGCACAATGGAAACACATACAACAGAATTACCTTTACAACAGCACCCAAATAAAAGGCCTTGTGCCCATTTAACCTAAGTATATTCTTACTAATAGCCTCCATATTTCATGTCAGCCACAAAGTGGAGTGTCTAATTTGCCCACAGGTCCAAAAGGATCCACGTTTTCAGGGAAGCTGACACACTATTTCACCTCCCTGAAGCAGTCAGAATGCAAGAACTGCCATTGAGTTTGGGTAGATACAGAGCTCTGTTAATCCCAACACGGCTCCTGGGGTCTCAGTCTCACATTTGACGTAGGCAAACCCAAACACTCATATTGCATCTTGAGTACAAATAAAAAGGTGTCTAGTAGACCTAGATCACTAGCATATACCATCAGCCTGCCTATCAGGCCTCAAAGCTTCTGGAAGGGGAAGAAATAAAGGCAAATCATGCAATCTTCCATTCAAGATGCCCTTCATACCTTTATTTTCTTTCTGACATCTCCTATCTACAAACAGTAAATCCTGTTCCTTTTTCTGCTGAAGCGATTCATTTTTGAGAATGTTATATTCTAAAGTCATATTTGTCAAAAGTCGCTCCTTTAAGTAGCTGTCATTTTGCAAAATGTGGTGCTCTCGAGTCAGGTTTCCTATCATTTCCCCCAGCTGATGGTTTTCTTGAATATACTGAAAAACTAAAATTAATAGCATAGATGTAAGACAAGGGTACTCATATACTTGAATGTTAAAATTCAAGACAAAAGAAAAAGTCTCACTTTGACAACCAACCCCTTTCATTACTTTAAATGGTTAATGTGACATTTAGAAAGTAACACCTCAATAAACCGACCGTAGAAATGGAAACTTCAAACTTCACACTATTAGCAACTTATGTGTAGAATAAATAAAAGAAGATATCTGAATAAAATTATAATAGTAACATCTTACCATTCAGTTCAGTTTCTTTTTAACAATTAGCATATCATTTATAAATAGGTCCCAGAGTAAAAACCAGTCAATCAACACTTAGCAACACATTTTCTATATATGAAAATCTGCACTAGGAAACATGAAGAAATACCATCACTGTTACTGAAGGTGATCGAATAGAAAAGGGAGGAAGATGTAAATAAGTACATTTATTTGAGTGGCACGTTAGTGATTTTCTCTAAAGATGTCAAGAAATTCAAATAAAAGATAAGAGTTGAATTCAAGATCATCTAAGGTACACGTACAGAATCAATCTTTTTACTAAACTCTATCAGCACAGACTTGGAAAAAAAATCAAGAGAAAGTCATAATTTCTTGTGAACAGTTGTTTCTCAAAGAATGTGTATCTAATATTTACAATGATCTAAACTCAGAAGACATTATATGACTAAGTCCTGTATCTGAATGAATGCTATTATGTATTCTACAGAATGAGACAGTTCATTAACCTACAGAGTCACTGGAATAGGTGAATAAAATGAAAATGACACTGTGACATGTCTGGGACATTCCATCATGATAGCCAGGAAACAGTTAGTATCTGTGCAAATAGTGGTCACTGCTATTACTCAGACTTGAAAGTTGTATTTTAATTACTCACTCTTTGTCCCCAATAGGGCGACTGTCACCGATAGTAGTAAACACAAGATCCCAAGAATCACTGCAATGAGATGCCAGGTCACTGAAAACCCTTTATATAAGGAAGAAAGATAATCATCAGGGACAAAGCCTTGCTCACTGCTAACCTTAACCTGGGATACCATTTGAAACAGAGATAACCTTCTCTAAAAATTTTACAAAAATATATCATACAAATTGATTTAAATTTATGACCTAGTAATTACAGTTTTAAAGTCTCAGATTTCTGACTGATATACACCCACTGTAGAAATCCTACGCACAAGAACAGTCCTCTAGGATTTTAAAAGCACTTTCCCTACTAAAGCACAGATGGCCTAATATATAGATTTGTCCAATCACTATGTTGTACACCTGAAACTCATGTACATTGTGCATCAATTATAATTCAATTTAAAAATTAAAAAAAAATTCAACAAAGTTTTTTTAAAAAGCACAGATGGCAATAGATATAATACACTTTTATAAGAGTCCACACTGATGTGTATACTCCTTCCTGTGATCACAACTAATCATGAAGAGGAAGGAAAAAGCAGTCAGTATTCTTGAGGAATTGGTAGCCAATAGTGGATATTATGAGGCTGGAAATGTGATTGGGGTCCATCCTTAAAAGAGTTTCTACAAATCAACTTTCCCTTCTTTTTTATCAATCCTATTTTTCCTTAGACAATATTTATCCTCCTACTTTTGAGGTCCTTGGGTCTGAAAATTGTATCTCTGATTGTCACTAAATTAAAACAATAAAAGTTAATCTCACTTTAGAGTTTGTGACAATATTTGAAGGTAGAGAGTGAGGACGGAAAGAACAGAAAAAAGTGAACGCTCCTTTTGACTAATCTTCTGTTTCTTCATTACCAATTAAGGTTTGATAAATATTTAAGTCACCTAAAATATCTTTTTGTCTGAATAAAAACATTGTTTCTAACAAATATTCCCATTTTTCAAGCATTCTCTAAGACCTTTGTTTCTCTAGGAAATTCAGTGTTTTCTTGAGACTCTAATCTGTCCTTTACTTTTAAAGGCCTCACAAATTCCTCTTGACCAAATTTGAATAAAAACACTTTATTAGCTTTGCAAATTTTAAAGAATTCATTAATTTCTCCATTTCACAAACATAAAAATATAAAACAAGGCTTTGCTCTGCTACTCTACACCATCATGGTTTCTTATTACTATTTGAAAACAAAAGGACAAACAGGAACTTTTTTCAAATGTCAGTTTGACAATCCATAAGAGATGCTTAAGATATATACCTTTGCCATCATTTTTCCCAGGCCTTTGAGTCCCACCTGGCCTTAATCTATTTGGTGACTCTGAAGAAGACTGAAGAAATCTCAGGGTGGAATAAATCACTTGCTGATCGCTCATATCTACAGTAAGAAGGGAAAGATGCTTTAAATTAAAGCCTCACAACAGGATGATTTCTGTCAAAAGAAAAATTCAAATCTCAGGCTGTAGAAACATACCAGCGACATACCAAAGGCTTGTGTGTGTATCTGTATGAGTGAATGTGTGTTTAACTCCTTCAAGCGCATAAAGCATGTGGACTGATCCTGATTTATATAAGAAATGGAAAACCTTTCAATATTTCTGTTAAACTCATTTATACTCCTAGTGATTACTGCCATGATTATTAGAAAATATCGAAAGAATTTTTTTTTAAATGTCCCAATAGATTGAATAGGCTGGGTCCTATGCAACCAGCCAATTTAGCTCAAAATGTTGAACATACATATACGTATTTTATTCATTTATATGTCAGAGAGAAAGAGAGAGAGTACAAGCAAGGGGAGCTTCAGGCAGAGGGAGAAGCAAGCTCCCTGCTGAGCAGGGAGCCCAACACGGGACTCAATCCCAGGGCCCCAGGATCATGACCTGAGCCTAAGGCAGATGCTTAACGAACTGAGCCACCCAAGTGTCCCTGAACATACATATATAAATGTTGGACAAATTTGGCACCAGTATAAATTACTGAGACACTTTAAAAACTATCAATTCAAAAAAATGAAAATTCTGTCTGAAATTCCAAAAAAATATATATATCTTGGCCTAAAAAGCCTTAATATACATGTTCAGATATACACATAAATATTTAAAAGTTCTTGCATTCTTTCAAATATAACAAGACTCTACCAGAGTATGTTTCCCAAAGTATAACCCATAAACCATCTGCAAAAGAATTATTAATGGTTAACATCGCAGATTGGTCAACAATCCAGACTCCAGTGGCCCATGTAAGATATGCTGAATAAAAATCTCAGTGGAACCCATATACCTGTATTTTTAATCCCAAATGATTCCATGTATATTTGAATTTTAGAAATAACTTTCTAGTGTGTGATGTTGCCAGAGAAGCCTCTCTGAAAATAAAATTTGTCAACAGGCAGTCATTAGTTAATATCCATAAAGGATTCAGTCTATTAATGGATATCAATATAAAAAGAAATTATTAGGGACGCCTAGGTGGCTCAGTTGGTTAAGCGACTGCCTTCGGCTCAGGTCATGATCTCAGGGTCCTGGGATCGAGCCCCGCATCGGGCTCCCTGCTCGGCGGGAAGCCTGCTTCTCCCTTTCCCACTACCCCTGCTTGTGTTCCCTCTCTCACTGTCTCTCTCTCTGTCAAATAAATAAATAAAATCTCTTAAAAAAATATAATAAAGAAAAAGAAAAAGAAATTATTAAATAATAAATCTTTAAAAGCTACCCTGATTCTGATATTAATCAGTGTGAAAAGATGATATCCAAGAAACAGAAAATCTGGAAAACAAATTACACATGAAACTCTATTCTCCTTAAATTTTTTTATTAATTTACAAAATTTTCTAAACTTATTCACATTTTCCCTAATTTCCTAAGGAAGAGGAGTCTTTTCTATTACACAATCCTTTAAGGTGGATAACATCTACATCATTCAACACAAAGCAAAAGTCGCAGTGTATCGAGAAAAAGAAAATAGCTTTCCATGAATTTTGTTTTCACATTCTTTAGAGTTAATGCAGTTCTAATGTAATCATTAGAAAATGCTTTTCTATCAATCCCCATATTTACACCAAGCCATTTATAATAAAATGCCACCTTCCTAGAATCTTTTTTTCCCAGAATCTCTTCGTTATTAAGTGGCACTAGTAGGACACTCAGATAACAAAGATCTGGGGGAACAGAAGCAGACGTTACCTGTGTCTATGCCATGCAGGGATGCAGGCAGAGAAAGCTGATCCAGAAAAGAGGTGGAAGAAGTTGGCCTTTTTGATCCTGGATCCCTTGTGTGTGTGAGGGTCTGTAAGACAGAAGGCAGAAATGATAGTCTCTGAATGGTACTCCCACTCAGAAATTTACTGCCCCTCCTCTTGGCCAAAGTGCTGAAAGGAAATTATATGAAAAGGCTGATGTTGAGGTACATCTTCCTCCATTTCAACTAACCAACCACTTCATACTCTTTGCAAAATAACGTTCAAAATCACTATTTGAGGACTGGAAATATAAACGAACACAGCTTTGGAAAAAATAAGAACTAATATCTTCAACAAAAACTAGCCTATTTAAAAGAAACTACTAGCAAAAACAAATGATTAAAGTGCATAAGTATACATATACCTAAGAAATATTATAACTAAATTCTTTAACTCTTAAAGAGTCTGTCTCTTAGAAACTTTCTCTTACATGCCGCTATCTGAAAAAAAAGATTTTTTTCCACTTATGTGTACAATCAATAAATGTATTTTAAAAATTATTTTAAAACATCCATAATCCCACTACAAAAATTTTGGTGTATATTCTTCCTGTTTCTTATCCACACACTATGATTACTATGAAAGTTGGCATTATTCATACATAATTTTTTTGATTTATTATTTTCTAATAAATGTTTCCTTACTTAAAAAATATTTATCTAAAATGTGATTTTAAAATCCATATATAGTCATTACCCACACAGATTATGCCACAATTTATTTAGGCAATCCCCTACTGTTGGACATTTGAGTTGTTTTCCAATTTATTGCTAGTACAAAAAATTTATGGCCTTACATTTGAATGCTGTCTTAGGAAAAATGTTTAAACATGAAATTAGGGGGGGTTAATACATTAAAGCACTTTGATACATATTGCCCAATGCCTTCCAGTGAAGCTGCTCCCATTTATATACCACCAAGGTGTGTGAAAATGCTCACATTTTATTTTTTCAAAAGATACTGTTGAATTATTCCTCTACTTGAGTTTTGTACATGAATCTTACTTCATGAAGAACTACAAACTTCCAGCTAAAAGAAATTCATTTCTATAACTCTGTTTCTATGAGCCAGACCTTACCCAAACCTCACTGAAGTTCATTTTCATTTAATACAGGCCTTGTCAATCTTCTGACATACAGCTCTATGAAATCAACTAAAGTTGCTCTTCAAAGGAGATGATTATGGTTAATATGGAGTGTGGAGGAAGAGGAGAGAGGTGGAATGAGAAACAGAAATTGGTCATGAAGAGACAGCTCACCCTTACTTCACCAGGCTCTGACCAAGTTCCTTACTTATTCTTCTCTTTCCTTACCAACTTCCAGCCACAACTAAACCATTGTACTTTAGAAGGATTTCCCATTCTTCAGGTTGTTCATGCCTCCCACCTCTCCTCCAAACTACTTTACAAACACAGCTACTGAATGTTCTGACCACTAGGACCAATCTAGGTTATGTTGCTATTCTTTGGCCCTCACCGGGCCTACTTCTGTCCCCAAAGCACTCCTTAATCTCTGATCACCACTTGTCATCACATGCAAGCACTCAGCTGAAATACCCCCCAAACACTAATTTAATTCAATAATATAAGTTTCATGGGGAGAGTCTGGACACTTCAAGAATACTGGTTACTGGGCATTTTCATCTCTTTACTCCAATCCTGGATTGGCTTTGTTAATCTCAAAACAGAGAAAGATTCTAGCCCTCTATTCTAAAGCCATACATACATACATACATACATACATACATACATACATAAATAAATCAACCAACCAACCAACCAACCAACCTCTGCTGAAAGAACATAGGGAGTAAGGGTGGGAGAAGTATTAAAGTTGATCAAAGAGGTGGCAGAGAGAGACACTGTCATTTATTGAAAGACCCACTATATGTATAACCATATCAAACCCTCCCAAGGCTGATAGCCATTTAATATTGCCCCCATTTTACACATGAGGAAACTAATGTTAAGAAGTTAATTGACTTGCCAAAAGATACATTATTGCTAATTCTTGACCCATGTTTAAAATCAGGCTCATTATATATTGAACATTGTTATTTGAGGTCAAGGTTCAAATCCTCCCTAGATATAAAAATGTCAACAAGTCACTCCCAATCTTCAAGACCTTTTCCTCATGTGTTCAATAAGAGTAACACTCCCTTCATAGGCTTGGAAGAATTCAGTGAGAGTAGCACTAGAGAGGATTTCTCAGACTTCAAAATACATAAATATTCATTTTTTTTCCTCTCTCTCTCCCAAGGTTCTATAAACAGTGGAAGAGCCAGGACAGCAATGCAGAAATCCTGACAGGCTGAGCTGGTTTCTCTGTCCTCACCTGTCAGGTTTGGACTGCAGATGCTTGGAAGAGAGGGTGTGGGCAAGGGCAAGGGGCACATTCCTAATATTTAGGAGCTGGAAACATGTGGCAGCATGCTGCACCTCCATTCTGTGACCTCGGATCTTGTTATTACCATCTTACCATCCCGTGCAGTTACTAGTAATGCTGAGCCTTTATTCTGTTTTGATTTACATCCTCAGAGCTGGTGAAAGGTGGTCAGTTCTCATGATGCAGGCCAGACAGGTGCAGAACACTGTTTTAAACCACCATAGTTGTCTGTCCTCTCTACATACACTCTGTAAGCTGAGTACCACGTCCGTCTGGTTCCTTATTGTAACTGCAGCACAGACAAGAGATGTGATGCCCACATGTGCACTTGATGAACAAGGTGATTCAAGTTCAGAGGAATTGGTTTCACTTATATGTGGAACATAAGAAATAGAACAGAGGACCACAGGGGAAGGGAGGGAAAACTGAATGGGAAGAAATCGGAGAGGGAGACAAACCATGAGAGACTCTGGACTCCGGGAAACAAACTGAGGGTTACAGAAGGGAGGGGAGTAGGGGGACAGGGTGACCAGGTGATGGGTATTCAGGAGGGCATGTGTTGGGATGAGCACTGGGTGTTATACCCAACTAATGAATCGTTGAACACTACAACAAAAATCTATGATGTACTATATGCTGGCTAATTGAACATAAAAAAATAAAATAAAAAACTAGATTTTCTAAAATAAAAAAAGGAGGAATTGACTATAAAATCTAGATTTTTCGGTTTTAGACAAAAGCAATTGAGATGAATGACTGGGAAGCCAAATTGTGTAGCAGCTCCCTCCAAGCTCAGGTTATTTGGTTTGTTACTAAGCTCTAATTTCTGGAAGAGGTAAATTTCTTCTTAAAGGAGAAGACAAGATAATGACAGCACTGACTTCAGGTGGGACTAACAGAAACTCCTAGCATGGCCCTTTGATCAAAGCAGCACAACATTGGAAGCACCAAACTTCATCTGAACAACCACTGGTTCATAAAACAGAAAGATGAAAAATTTGAAGAACTTTGAATGTTCCTATACTTTGTCATCCAAATTCACTTATGTGCAAGACACACATAACACATACACACATGAATATATAAAGCATTTACTTATTTACTTCCTGGCTGCTTTGCTGTAAAGCCTCTGTTCATTTGGGAAACCACACATTTTACCCCAACCACTATTGACCATATTTACTTTGTCAGCTAGCTTAGTTCACAGCTTCTAGTCACACCTTCAAGCTTTCTCGTCACAACTTCAAACCTCAATGGCTTATCATTTCACACCATCATGCTGTTCTTCCACTTGTAGGCCAAAGGGAAGGATGTCTAGAGGAACCACCAGCGCCCAGAGAAGGATGGTCTGCATCCCTCTAACTGAGAAGAGTACCTCCTCACCTCGCCGGGTTCCCACCTCCACAGTTAGACTTCATGCCTAACCTTCATGACACTGAGCAATGCTCATTTTCTGGCTCTTGCTGCAAAAACTCAAAAGACCTCCTTTGAACTTTCTTGTTCCCCTAACTAGTTACCTCATTTGTCCTTCTTGTCTTTACAATAAAATCTGTTCTAATGCTCTAGAGGTAAAATCCTTTATATGGGCCCAACTGCCCTCCAGCAGTCTATCAGACAGTATCCGTCCTTCCTCCAATTTCTAAATAACTAAATGAGACCACCTCCATCCCAGGAAATAAGTAAGCTTGAAAAAATTATGGCAAAAAAGGGACTTCAGAGGGCTATTTGGGCTCTCTGCCATTAAAAGTAACCTGTCTATTCACAGGTGGAAAAGGAAAATAGATCTGCAAAGTAGGGGCATAATTAAGAATTCTGTTGTATCAGTTAGTGTTCCCTCCACTATCTCACACAGTTCAGACTCTGAACTTACCCTCAAATCATTCATTTACCTTTGTTGTTTATTTTTTATTAAATTTTGTGGATGTTCTATTCTAGTGCATTACCATATGATAGGAAGCCAATTATTAAAATAACCAACAAACTTGATCACCCAAAAACCTGCACATAGATATTTACAGCTTTATTTATAATCGCCAAAACCTGGAAGCAACCAAGGTGTCTTTCACTAGATAAATGGATAAGCTGAGGTCCACCCAAGCAATGGAATATTATTCAGTGCTAAGAAGAAATGAGCTATCACGTCATGAAAAGACATGAAGGAAACTTAAATATGTAAGTGAAAGAAGTAAAAGAAGTCAACCTAAAAAGGCTACATATCGTATAACTCCAACTACATGACATTATGGAAAGAAAAAACTGTGGAGACAATACAAAGAGTAATAGTGATGATAAGGGTCGGTGATGAGGGTAGGGAGAACTGGATGGAGCACACAGGAATTTTAGGGTAGTGAAAATACTAGCTCTGATACTATAATGATGGATATATATCATTATACATTTGCCTAAACCCATAGAATATACACTGCCAAGAGTGAATCCAAAAGGAAACTATGGGCTTTAGGGTGATTATGATGTGTCAGTGGAGACTCATCAAATATAACAAATGTACTACTCTGGTGGAAAATTTTGGTTAACAGGAGGCTATGCATGTGTGCGGGCTGGAGTATATGAAAAATCTCTGTCCCTTCCTCTCCCTTCTCTGTGAACCTAAAATTGCTCCCAAAAAAGTCTTTAAAAAAAAAAAAATCACAGGGATCAGTAGTTGAACTTACAGCACAACCCATGTTCACAGGTCTCACATATTTCAAAAACTCCTTTTCGCTGTCCCATTATCTATTGCTTTGGTTGAGCAAAGTTAAAGTGTCTACTTGAGAAATTAGGATCACAGCTGTGATCCAAAGGACACATCCTTATCCAAAGTGTTTGAATATACAGCTCTGTGGCAGGACTATGTGCATGTGCAAAGCTCATGGTAACTGAAAGGTTTTCCATAGCTACAGAAATGAATCTCTTCCCCTTCAGACTAAGTTACAAAGACAAATTAATCTGATGGCAGTAAGTACAAAAGACAACCACCTCAAACTTTTACAAAGCATCTACTCTGTGGAAAATATTGTGCTAGATGCGGGGAAGCAACACTCCATCCCATAAAAGGGCCAAAGGAAGGATGGGGCACTGAACCAACACTTGGAAAATAAGTTTTGATTATTGCAAGAAGACTCTTTATTATGGGGAGGAAGGGAAGGGAACATGTATCTACTGACCTGAGTGCTATAACATTCCAGTTTCATATAAAACTAGTATTATACAAAATTTAAAATGTTAGTGATCATTGTCCACCAGCAGCTTACAATCTAGGAAGAAGCAGTTCAAACAAGGTATAAGAAAGTCAGAGACAATATAAAATATTTATCCTAATGATGTAGCCTCCAATCTTGGTTTGCATGTGAGAAACTCAGTAGACAGTGGGGACAGAACATAACAAGTCAGCACAAGAGGGAAGTCAGAGAATGATGACAAGGAGTTAACACATTAAATTGAAGAACTATTTCTCCCAACTTTGCTCCATCTTGATCATCTTACTCAATGTCTTACTCAGGAGACACAGAATATTGAGGAGCAAACAAAAATTGTGGGCCCACAAATTAAAAGAGCAATCATTTCTCCCTTCTTCCTGGAGGTTGACATCTAAGTATAAGAAAATTACATGATTTGGGCGCCTGGGTGGCTCAGTTGGTTAAGCGACTGCCTTCGGCTCAGGTCATGATCCTGGAGTCCCGGGATCGAGTCCCGCATCGGGCTCCCTGCT